CAGTAAGAAATGGGTTTTTACCTGTGAAGATTCAATACAATACAAGCACAAAAAAAAAAAGTTTAGATTTTTTGGTGGAAATTTTTCTATTACATGTGCATTTTAAAATTAGTAATATGAAAGTATTACATAGTTTTTCATTCTTCCTAAAATAATTTGGGAAAACTATCCTAAAGGTGAACTAAGCAATAAAATAATTTGGGGGAAACAATGAAGAAAATAATTTAAATATTAAACATAATAATAAGAAATTGATATTTATATCATGTCGAGTTATAAATTTCATTACAAAAAGGTAGTAATTAGCAATAGTTTTATCTTTCATAACTGTGACTTGAGATGACATTCAGGGGTTGTGGTATCAGTTTGTTAAGCTGACTGCACATTGGTTTGCAAATGATTTCTAAGTATTGATATTTTCAAAATATAAAAGTTCTTAAATAAATTGTTCTTTACTAAGGACTAAGAACAAACTAGTCAGAAAATTGTGCTATTAAGTGCAATGACTTTGTCCAATATTGTCCTTCTTAGGGAAATACTCTTTCATTAACTGAAAAGCAAAACTTCTACTAGTCATCATTTTGCTTCTATCAAAGTAAATTTACCATAGCCAAATGTCAAGAAGATGAAATTGCCGATTTATTTAAAACATGAAGAATATATTGGTAAGCAACAAAATTCCATCCTAAAATTTTGCCATGAACATATTTTTCACTTTACATTGCAATGTACTAAGCCATTTTGTCAATAACAAAATAAATAATGACTGCCATCATTCTTTCTTTCTGACCCAGAATTAGCAACGTAATCCTGTTTTGGTATTAATCACTATAGTTTCAACAGCATGTGCCATTAATTCACCATAATGTGCTGCAACCAATCAATACTTAGTCTGTAAAGTCGTTTGTTCTTTGGCTCTACATGGCAAAAATCATTGTCTTAAAATAGCTCTTTTTATCATCTTCAGGGTGAAGAACTGTTTATATAAACTCTGTAGCTAAGCTTTCAGAGGATGTATTAATCTTACTCATGCTAAAATCATGCTCTTCAAACCATTTAACGTGTCTTTCTGGCATTCTGACATACATTTTCAAATAATACTACAGACACCTGAAATTGCTTTAGTGATGTTTAAGAGGTTTTTAGTCAGTGAATACCTACAGATCTCTCACTTTGTAAAACATGGTAGCTCCCACACTAAATACTTTGCAAGGTAAGGTTAAGTCACTTGATGTTCAGTGATTGCTGTGAACTGTTAACATTGTGTTACATGAATGCCATACTTTTTGAAGACTCACTCAGACTTTGCCTGTTATTCTTTGTTGCTACTCCAGGCCGTGGACATTCTCTGCAGTTTGTCATGTCACGTGGCTCGAGCCACTGTCCACGCTGCATTTTGACAAGAGCCAATGCAGGAAATCAGCTCTCTCAGCCACTTCATTCTTACTGCTGCCTTCCCCTCCCAGCATTACCGCACTGGCAGATTGGCATGCACTACATAAACCTTACAAGCATTTCCATTTTCCCCCTTATATGATGGCTCTCACCTTAGCATTTACTGTCAGCTTGCTGCATTGCTGTGCTCCGTCCTCCTCCTGGTGACAGGCCTGGAAGTGGGAGGCTGCCCCGCAACTGCAGCACTAGGGCTGCTAGGGCTGTCTGCTCTCCTAACCTTGCTCTGCCCTTGGGCTGCCGCGGGCCACGCAGGGGCCAAAGATTGACACAGGTGCCAAGTACCAAGTCCACAGTTATGGCCCTGCCTTCCCAATGTTCCGTAAATTGGTGTCGAGACCTGTGCTCGCTCATTATCTTTTGCATGTGGAATTACCAGCAGTAACTGCCTCATATGCATCAGAGGCTAGACTTGAAAAGATAAACTACAAGGGTCTTCTACTTGCCTAGAAAATGAGCCTTTTATAAGGACTGTGGCTGCCTAATGATGGTCTGTCTTCATGGCCCACTTCATTAGGACTCTCCTTCTCTTGGATGTACAGGATGCTCCCTATACAACCTCGCTACTGTAGCGGTAGTGCCCAGAGGTTGAGAGGTAATAATCACCCTCTGACAGAGTTGCTGGGCAGGAATATCACCATGAAAACACATTCATACAAGAGCCAGCAATCAAAAGGCTCTTTTTATCTAACCAGTTACAATGCAAACTATAGTCATAGTAGTTTTAGAAAAAGGACACAACCATTAGGGATACAGAGTCTGCAGGCTTATGTTAGAATGAGAGTGAGTGATGGCAGCAAGATGAATCAAGTAACTTCCTTTGGCAATATACTATATATGTCAGAATGACTAAGTAAGGGAACAAAAGTGAGTAGACTGAGCCTGCAATTAAATGGATGGACACCAAACCAGATGTAATTGGATTTGCTTCCCCTAAGCAGATTCATGAACTAAACCTCTCTCCTTGCTCCTCTGAGAGATCAGCTTCAGACAACCAAGGGGAAATATGCTTAGCATTGGATTTGGTCAGTGTTTGTGATAGCTCAAGCACTAAGGAGGACCAACTGTGAAAAAGTAATCATCAGAACTGTCTGTCCATTTACTTTCTCTCAGTTTACTGTTCCAAAATTTTGCCAAGTGCAAAGTTTGCACGAACCAGGACCATATTTTAGTTCAATTATCTTTCCCCTCCTTTTCCCATTTCCTTGCATAAATTAATCATGATTCAACTGCATCTGGCCCACTGCTAAAGGGTAGTAGCTGGCAGAAGTATTCTGGCAACTAACTTGATATGTTTCCTTCAGGTGTACCAAAGAAGAAAAAAAAAAAAAAGCAAAAACCTGTTCTTTCCCTAGGGAGTGACACAATATATAATTATTTTTTTCCCACAGTAAATCTACCAAGGCACCTATGTCCCAAAGCCATGCTTTGCTACCTGACTCTTTGTAATGGATGGCAGAGCAGTTGCAAGAAAGCATCCAGGAATCCAGGCAGGTCCCGGAGGAGAGGAGTGAGATATGAGTGCACAGGACTGAAATACTGTTCTGCATTCTACAAGGAGTTATCAGTACATTGGTAATGTTTTCTGCCTAAATCTTAAGAGAGTTGTGCCACTATGAAATGCTTTCTGCAGCTGCTCTCAGGTTATGCTTGGGAGGAAGAGCTGTAAGAAATCTGCAGATCTTGGGGTTTGCAGGGCATGTTCTCACGGCATTTGCCATGCCAGTATTTGCATTCCATCTACCCCCCATGAACCAAAATGCAAAAATAAGCTTTCTGTTTTATAGAGAGAGAATATTAAAAAGATCTAACATACAAAAATGGGGAGAGGTGTTAGTCTTTAATTTACTTTTTTAGAGATTTGCTAATTGGCATCAAATGGTAATATCTATTCTTATCAGTTCTCTGAAGTTGAATTCCCAATTACTTTTTCCATCTACATAATTACTAGCAAGAAAAATGGTTAAATACTAAAGGCTTAAGTCAGAAGAGCAGCAAAATACATTTGAATCCACCTGTTTGTATTTTAATCTCATCATTTTTAAAAGCTTCATATATGTGAAAGTAATGGTAATAATAATAATGCACTTCTTAGATTTATGTTGAAAAGTCAGACGTGATAATAAATCTTCACAAGTCAAAACACAAAGAAAAAAAAGGACAAAAGACATTACATTTGAAATAAACAGCAGACTGCCTTATAATAATTTCTTCCATAGCCTGTCTTACTTCCACTCGGTAATTAAATGTGGTGTCTGACAGCATGAGCTCTGAGAGTGTAAGCAGAGATCACACAGCTCCCAGAAGTAACTTATAAATAATGAAATAATCACCCATTCAGACACAAACACCAAAGAGATGGATCAACTTTTTCTGCTACACCTTGCATAAAAAGTTCTTTTTGAGTGCCACACCATCAGTGCGCAATACTTAAAGCAGAAAATTGTCATGCCTCTTTTGTTCCAATGAGCATACCAAAACTCTCCCTTTGCATTAAACAATGCACTGCAGAAACACAGAGACCAAATCTTATCCCCTAGACGTTAGCCTTCAAGTCAGTTATTCTCTCTGTACTTGCAGAATCGTGCACAATGAGGCAAACATAGCTTGGGTTTCACTCCATTGAGTTCAGTATTATTACATGAAGAATTAATTTATTCAAATACATCTTCGTGATTATACAAGCACTTTTAATGAGTTGGGGGTAAACACTGACTTACCCTCTGGCTTTTCTTGGGCTAAGGGACTCTCTGCTTTCCAAAATATAAAATTACGTTATTTTTCTTGTTTCAAGACTGGCCTGATTAATGGAGAAAAAGCTCTCAGGATACTACTTAGATTGCCAGTTGTTTGGGAAAAGTGATGCTTAAAAAACCCAACAGCCTCATAGTCCCATATATAGTATCTTGATTTTACCCTTACACTCTATATGGAGAAAAAAGTGTAGAGAGACTAAATAGATATCATTCCAGAGTGCACTAAGCATGCAATAAAGGGAAGGTGATGCTGTGATCTTCATCTTCTCGAGAAGCTGGGAATTACAGCAGTTCTTAACCCCTGCTGTGCTATATCACAGGACTGGAAAGGGGCAGTCACCAGGACATAATGTGGCAAGGGAAAGAATTAGAGCTGTGGTATTAACTGAGGGGAAGAAAAAGGATCAGAAAGTATAAAGTTAGATCCAGAAAATGCTAAGATACCTTCACTGCACCCAGTACTGAATTGATAAAGTCTACATGGCACTGTTCTGCCTTGATTTGCTAACTCGCCTTGCATCTCTAAATTCTAGATATCTCGATATGAAAAACATCCTGACATATAAAATGTGTGTGTTTTTCTACATACCCATATTTTTCAGACATTACAACACCATATTCTGCTTTCTACAACCTCAGTATTACCAGCGGAGTTCTAATTCAGTGACAATTGAAAGCATAATAACCATTTTATGACCACAGCTTCCTAACACCTCTCTCTTTGATTTGTATATTTAATAGGACTCCAGAAGATATATGCAGTCACTAAAGATAACATTATAAACAACTTACAGACGGAATTTTTGTGGTTACTGTCTTTGCTGGGCAACATCTTGACTCCTCTTGATTTCAGTTCAATTGCTTTTTTCACTGAGAAAACAAGCAAACAAAAAGAAGGTAATTCATTATTAAACCTTATAGAAAGGACATACAGCAGCCAAATCACACATTACGATAATACAAAGCTACACAGGAATCCTACAAGCAGATTGAAAGAACTGCAGTTTCTGTGATAATCCAAATACATTTTTACAAAAATACAACCATTTATCATGTTTTGGAAGATGTCCTTTTTAAACAGATATTATCGGGATTTGCAATATTTTGAATTCAAATTTCCTTCTGGTCAAAGAAAAGACAAACCTGTCCTAATTACATGTATGTTTTCCTATGTTTGCCGCTGCAAATGGTAAAACCTGAAACATTTTTAAAACTTATTTCTTATATTAAATGTACAGTACATTATCTACATATATCTGAGGACCACAGGCTTTAAATGTGACATTCACATCTGCTTTAATTTGAATCACTCTTCAGTAGTAGACATGTCTTTAGTTAGGTTTCCTAAGGAGACTAATGTTATAGGATCCCAGCATGCCACATTCTTTGACTCACCTAACCCCTTTTGAATCTACAGGGCAATTTCAACTGAATTAGAAACAGAAAGAGAGTAAGAGCTCTCAAAGGGACAAGGTTTTGTGAGAGAGAACAGATGCATCAGGGGTTTAATATCTGTTTCCTCTGTTCAGCCAGCTGAATGGCTGACAAACTCTCAGCCTATCCCTACTAGGTAGTCAGGGCACCATAGGAGGGATCAGGAGCAAAGTAGGAAGAGACATGAGAAGGAACTAGTGCAGTTATACATTAAGGAACACATGGAGTAGAATTTGAATTGTAATGGTAGGAGAAAAGGGTGAAAATATAGGACACATTCACAGGAAATTAATTAGTTCTGTGGCTTGGGAACAACTTGATCAATTGAAAATAAAATCAGATGTAGAAAATAATTGTGAAACAAGCCTGGACAATTCAAAACTATTGTGCAAAAAACCAACAGCAATAGCAAAATAGCTAGTGACTGACTCTGTGTATCAGAATCCTAATGGCAACATCGTGATGCATGTCAGTAACAAAAAAATTATAAGAAGCAGTAATCCTTTCCTGATTCATATTAAATACTTCTTTTTTCTAGATCTTGCGGTGGTTAACAATCTTAACATGCAGCCATTTATCCTAGATACAAACAGAAACAAAAAAATCAACTTAAACATTTTTAAAATGGCAGTAATTTGCACCTCATACTATATAAATCCATAAGTTAATACCACAGTTTATCAGTTACTTTTTGTCAGTGTATGGGATAAAGTTTATGATTACTACACTATACACTGATCTGTATACAAATATTTCTAAGAAGTGAAGTGGGAGGAACAGCAAGTTAAGATACCTTTAAATATTGCATTAAAAATTGTGATTTCATTGTATTTATTTCTATATTGGACTTTTGCTGCTTTTGCAACCTCAGAGTGAAGCAGGCTTTTCTTAAGTGCTGAAATTGGGCAAGTACTGCAGAAAGCACTTTTTGCACTATGTACGTTGCAAGTGCAGACATTTATGTCTAAACCTGGAAAACAGGTGTTCAAATGATGAAAGATGATTGAAACACAATTGTAGCTGCATGGGATGAAATGGATTTGATAGCAGTGTGGTGTTTTCTTTTCTTCTAAGACAAGAACACATTATACAGAGACATCATTGCAGACAATAAGGCTAAGAACCCCAAGGGCTTCTGGCAGGGATATGGTTTCTTAGGATTACTTTCTAGACTTAGGTACTAAAATTTCCATCAAGTACCATCTTACGTTCTGTTCTCTTACATTGCATAACCAGTCTGTTAAAATTATTCCATATTTAATGGGAAATTAACAGCACAACTCTTGTAATGAATATTTAGGATATTGTCTGGAGTTGTGGTCCCTCCACCAGCATAAATTTCACAGTTTATTAATATGTGTCTGTCGTGGTTTACCCCCAGCCAGCAACTAAGCACCATGCAGCCGCTCGCTCACTCCCCCCCCCATCCAGTGGGATGGGGGAGAAAATCAGGAAAAGAAGTAAAACTCCTGGGTTGAGATAAGAACAGTTTAATAGAACAGAAAAGAAGAAACTATTAATGATAATGATAACACTAATAAAATGACAACAGTAGTAATAAAAGGATTGGAATGCACAAATGATGCGCAGGGCAATTGCTCACCACCCGCCGACCAACATCCAGCTAGTCCCCAAGTGGTGATTCCCCGCCCCCACTCCCCCCAGTTCCTATACTAGATGTGACATCACATGGTATGGAATACACCGTTGGCCAGTTTGGGTCAGGTGCCCTGGCTGTGTCCTGTGCCAACTTCTTGTGCCCCTCCAGCTTTCTCGCTGGCTGGGCAAGAGAAGCTGAAAAATCCTTGACTTTAGACTAAACATTACTGAGCAACAACTGAAAACATCAGTGTTATCAACATTCTTCTCATACTGAACTCAAAACATAGCACTGTACCAGCTACTAGGAAGACGGTTAACTCTATCCCAGCTGAAACCAGGACAGTATCACATAAAACATGAGAGCAATTCTTGGAGGATTCAAAACCCACATTGCTTACATTCACGGGTGAGTGCTAAAACCATTGAGTTATTGTACAGCAGACAGAGAAAAGAACTATACTCTCCTGCTCCTCTTTGTCCTGTGACCCTACTTTAGGGTGAAAGTGGCAATCATCACTCAAATTCCTTGTGGGAATTCACTCCTGAAGGTATTTGTTAGACATACTTGAAGCACCCTTCTCAGGAATGGGTAAAAATTATACCCATCAGCTTTATTTGAAATATAGTGGACATAAATTGAAAGAGAGATTCTGACTTGACATATGAAAAACTTTTCCACTGTTAGGACAGTCAAGCATTGAAACAGGTCTGCAGTTTCCATCCCTGGAGTTTTTTCACATGTCAAGAAAAAGGCATTCTGTATCTCTCTGAAAGAACATTAGATAGGGGATTCACAATACTTAAGATCAGTCATCTAAAACGTATGTTTTACAAAGAGAAATAGCTACCTCAAGGGGGCAATTCATCCCCTTCTAAGATAGGCACAATGAATCACCCTCTGGAGATGCCTTTTCCTCTCCATAAAACATAACAGAAACATACACCACTTATTCAAGCTAGATTCCTACATTTTAGGCAGTAACATTAGGTGACATGAGCTTTTATGTCTGGAGAACTTTAACAGCCAAATGTAGGTATCTGTGAGACATAGGGATCAATGAGCTTGAATGGAATAGTTTGAAATATAAATACCAAACTTCTGCCTCTATTATACATGTGTGTGTAAGTTTTCACATGTGGCCTGCATAGTATTTTCTTCTATTTTTAAAAAGAATTAAGCAAGTATAGTCTTTTAAATACAAACTATTCAACCTCTGAAAGAGAAATAGAGACCACCGAACACTGTAGTTTGAGTGAACCAGTTCAATTCCTTTTGTAACATAAAAGAAATACTCTAAATTGCACTTTTTATAACCTTTAAATCCCATTTGAATACCTTTTCTGAGATACTTCTTTTCTACTTCCTGATTGCTCTTTCATTAAAAAGATTTTCCTGATTTCAAAGATGATCTGCCATTTAGTAGCACAAAAAGAGGAATGGGTTTATGTTAATAATGTCTGGTAGGAACAGCACTTTCCACCTTTTAAGTGATTACTTTTTAAAGTTTGCATACCTTTCAGCTGTCTTCACTTAAACATTCAGTTAAGCTAACTGAATTAACTCACTTCACCTTTTCTGTTAATCATAACTTCAAGACTCTTTTAGAGATGAGATACTCATTCAGAGAGGAGGGCAGAGCTGAGCCCTGGAAGTCCAAGACAGTCTTATCAGCCTACTGGAAAGCACCAGTGGTATTCCTTAACTTTTTGCTGTAGCTAAATTAAAATCAGCCATGAAAAGAATATATGCCTGGCATTATTTGAACGGATTAAGAAAGTTAAAGTAAAATTTTCAAGTTGTAAACCTCCATTCAAACCTACTCTGATTTTTATGAAGCTCTTAGTTTCTAATATATATGAACCTCTGTGAAGAAAATACATTTTACCCTAAGCACAATTACCTTGCAGAAAAGATTATGACAATTTCGCAGAAATATGGTTTTAACAAAGGATCAGAATCACAGAATAGTTGAGGTTGTGAGGGACCTCTTTTCCAACATTCTTACCAAAGCAGGGCCACCTATAGCCCAGGATGTTACCAACAGTTGAAATTTTACTCATTGGTTTAATCAGGAGGGTAACAAAATAAAAGTAACAGTGAGACATTAGAAGGACAGTCCCTGTGTCTTTTGAGGATATTAGAAAACTATTACCTTCAGTCAGAGAAATTTCTCTGTGTTTATATATATATAGTATAGACATATATTGCATTCAGATTTGTTGCTTGTGAAAAAGTACTTCCAAAAAAATTAGTATGCAATGATTTAAAAATCTTGTTAGATTACTTTGAAATAATAATAATCTATATCTGTGTCTGAATAAAGCTGGTTTGATACATTCGAGACCTGCTGCCATTCTGCCATTGAAAAGGTTGTCCTAGAAAGCTAATTCTCCTACACATCTTGCTCAAGGCATTTGAAGTATAAAATATAACTGGTAAGTTGTCTGTTTTTACTTAAATGAAGAGAAGAGATGAAAATAAACAGAAAATTAAATATTTAAAACATTTGTATGGGTTTGGTTAAGCAAGACCTAATATTGTTGAGAAAGTTCAGACAATCAATGAGATTAAGCAAAATGTTCACAAATAACTAAGCTCAGATAAATTTCAGTAAGAAGTTTTATAAACAGACTGCAGCCTGAAGGACTTCAAAAAGACCTTTCATGACTCATTAACTAGGTAATGAAAAGACAAGGGCCAACACGTGAAGTTAACAAGAGTAAGACTTCAAACTAATAAAAGGAAGTGTTTTTTCATACAAGTAGTAGACATGTGAAATTCTTTGCCAAAAGTCACTGGCAAATGTGGATGCAAGAAGTCTGCAGATCTGCTT